AGTCACCTCAGAGCAAAGGAAGAGCCTGAAGGCTCATTCTGTAGCTTTTTGTGTACTGAGATAAAAAATGTTGTAGTGGTTAGGTCATCCAATAACCCTCTTCCAGGAGGAAATTGGTGTCTTCATTAGCAGCCTCTGACTGTAGAATACTGAGAATTCTGACAGAAATGGTATAGGGAAGCAAGCTAGCAGCTGAGCTGATGGTCACAGAAAAGCATAAGATTGTTTATGAGTGAGAGTAATACAACAAGCAAAAAAATTCTTGAAAATGACAAAATTACAGTCAGGGAAAACTAACATTGCTTTAAGCCATGGGTATATTTACTTCTGTTCTCGAGCCCCTTCTGTCTTGTGTTTCTTTCACATTTTTTTTTGTTTTTTCTTTCCTAGCTGGAGAGGAGGAGTGTTTTTAGTGAAAGGAGTAATGCAGCCCAGTATGCCAACTCAGATGAGGAGGAAGATGGCTATGATTCCCCTAATGTCAAAAGAAGGGGGGCTTCAGTTGATGATTTCCTGAAAGGGTCAGAACTTGGAAAGCAAGTAAGTAGCTTGGTCTGTTATGTCAGGTGTCTGACTTGAAACAGGTATTTTATGAAGCTCAGCAGGCTATCCATGTCACCATCTGATTCTTGCAGCCATGTTGGTAAAATGTAGAGACGAGCAGCTAAATTTTTTGTGATAACTATACTCCATATTTAATTTTGGTCAGTAAACTTAGAGATATCTACCACGTGAGTACAAAGTTGCTGCTCTGTGTGGACTTACTACCTCTGATCTACAAGGGATTGTGCACTTAGTGGGCAAGTTTTGTAGTACTGTGCCAGTGGAGCCCCTAAGTCTATTTGAATCCAGCTGAAAACAGGAGTGCAGGAGTGATTTGCTATGAAAAACAGGACCAAGAGAACAATTCTGCTGGAATGGAACTGATGAAATAATAAAATTCAGTGTAACAGCTGCAAAGTTTAGATGTGAAAAACAAAGCATTACAATATACTCTGATCTTTTAACTTCAAAAAGAAACCAAAACCATTATGAAACTGCAATGGCTTTTTTTCTAAGATGATCCTAATTTAATGCATCAGAAGGATCTAAAAACATTTACGGGCTCAGCACAAAGAATTACTACTAAAGGCTTCACCCTGCAATCTTTCTAGCTCCAGAACAAAGAATTAAAAGAGCAGCAATTGTCTTCTGCATTTGGAGGGCAAATCCATATTCTTTGGAGAAGTTGCTTCTTGTAACCATTTTCTTCTCATTGCTGGGACTGATTGATATCAGTGTGTTACATAACTGTGGGAACTGGTCTGCAACCATGGAAACTATTTCTTCACTAGTATTGCTGGGGAGAGGAATACAGTAATTTCCAGCATTCTAGTACTTCAAACGTTCTACTACCATCTGACATTCAGGGGACTCCATTTGAAAATTTGTCCTTGAGAGCACAATGAGTTTTGTTTACACTCTGATTTGTAGGATGTAGTGTTTAGCAGAGGTTACTCCTGTTTAACATTAGCAATTCAGTAGGACATGCTTTTTCCTTTTTATCTTCCAACTAATTTGAAACTTAAAGAAACTTGAAATATTTGCATGAATTTTAAAAGACAATTAAGGTTTTAGCCAGTCTATTCCTACAATGCTTAAAAGAACGAAAGCTTGAAATTCCATCAGCTAGCTGTATCATACAATGATGGGAACATCCTGCAAGACTTAAATGCTGATCACTTTTAAATTACAATGGGATGTAACAAACAGCTGTGAAGAACAGATGATATGTGAATTATTCTGGGGCTTTTACAATTTGGTCAGCAAGCCCAGTGATGCATGAAGGACCTCTTTAAATCAAGGGAATATAATGAAGACTAAAACTAGATTGGGTGCTGTGAATACAGACATTCCTTTTGTATTACCTATGGGATTAAGATTGAATTTCTTCCTTTGGGACCATAAGTGGTCAAAAAAGATTTATACATGGTCTCTCCACTAAAACAGAGCAGCAAGACACATGATGTGTTTTATATGTAGTTATTGGTGTGATATTCAGACCTAGAAAATGCTCATCCTTATTCTTACACAAGGATTTTCAGCTTTACCCTTAATAAAGTTTTTTCTCTCTCACCCTGTCTTCTTAGCCTCACTATTGCCATGGTGAAGAGTACCATACAGAGAGCAGCAGAGGTTCTGACTTGTCTGATATTATGGAGGAAGATGAGGAAGAGCTGTACTCCGAAATGCAGCTGGAGGATGGAGGAAGGCGACGAGTCAGTGTGACATCACACAATGCACTTAAGGTAAGTGTGACTGCAGAGAGACCTTAGGGCTACCTCCATCTTCTGACTCCTCCTTCAAGGCTTTGCTTTTAGTCAGTTATGGATTTTGCAGACCATTAAAACTCACAGTCATATAGAACTAGAACGGGAGTGAACATTGTTTATGATGTCAAAGCCACTTTTAATACACTTTTTACTTTTTTTTTTCATTATTTGATAGCTAATCTTTTAAATAATTGACTGTTTTCCTTTATGTAATTGTTGAAGTTGCAATTTCAGTTCTATACGTGGGGACCTTTCCCCTCTCTATACAGCAATATGTGCTACCTAATGAATTCTTTCTGAGCAAGATTTATCTAAACACACATATAGAAAAAAAAAAAAAACAAACAAGTTAGGTTTTTACTGTCTAAGTAATTTGTTTCTGTTCCTGGTGCTGTCTCTTCCACAGGCTTTAAAGCATGCTGTAAGAAAGGGAGTTGGGTCAGCTTTGTTTGATAAATGCAGTATCAGAAATCCTCATGCTCTGATTATTAAGAAATCACCAGAGACAGTAGGAAGTGCCTATCAGAAATATTGCTTTAAGACTACATGGGAATATTTATAATGAAAGACAACTTCAGTATAACAAAGCACATGTAAAATGTTGAACCCACACGATACAGAATATATATTTCCTGTAGGATATTTGCATGTGTAAATTATATTTGATTTTTATGTGTCTAACCATTACACTAAATTGTGTTTTCTCAGAAACCTGGGTAACTCAAATGATAGGGAGACTCACAGGTTGCTTTTTCCTTCAATATGCTGTTATTTAGCTAAAAAGCCAAGACCTTTTTGTCGTGCATACCAGATTCTTGTAACTGCTTTCATGTACTTTGAATTCTGTCCTTTTATTCTGATACTATCTGGAACGTGACAGGTATTTTTCAAAAGAGAAAACAAACCGTGTTTCTGTTATTCTACTAACATAAAGGTTGAAACTGAAATCCTTCTGCATGCTGCTTCTGTCCCTTTCCTCTGGGAAAAAGTGAACTACCCCTAGACTGGCCTCCTTCTTTATGCATCAGAAAGTATATTTACTTCTTGGTTTTAAATTAGTATTGCCAATGTTGATATTTAAAAAGAAAACTCCAGACCCTTAATTGGTGTAGTAAGTCATTTTCGGCCCATTAGGGTCTGCAGGCAACATGCTCTTGATGTAGTAGTGTATGTGAAGGGTACAGCTGGCTGACTTCTCCTGCAGAAGTGGAATTCAGTACGTGAGTGCTTCCTGGGGAAGGAGTCAGGGATGTCTGAGTCTCACTTGGAGAATGCAGCCCACCATGATGATGTGTTTTCTGATATAAAGTACACATCAGATTCTGCTCCCAAAGTGCTTGATAATTTCTTCCTCTTTCACTAGGCAAAATTTCTCTTTGCAACATCAGTAATTAACAAAAAAATTGAAAAACATGTTTTCTGAATTTTCCATAATGCAAGCAAATTCCCGTTCTTGCATCTGAAAAGATGCCAGCCATGCCCTTGCAGCTGTAATTGAGTATTCTCTCCTGAGTTAATAGATGCCCCCAAGTAACAAGAAAACATTTTGCATGTAGATATATATTTGCTTTATTGGGAGATTATTCTTCATTCAGATGGTTCCCTAAAACGAAGGCTGACACAGGTGATCAAGGGAAGATTCAGCTCACTTACCTGATCTGGGAATTCTAAAATGTGGGATGTTTGAGCCTCAATCAAAACTATTCTTGTTCATATTTATTGACTTTTTTCCACTTCTATGGAATTTTTTCTCTAAAATTTCCCAAGTGTGATACACATTTTAAAAATGAATGAAAATAGGCGAAACAAGTATAGTTATAAAGTACCTTAGAAAGTTTCTAACACTTGAAAGGTGAAGACATCCAAAATCCTGTTAAGTTTAACATGCTCAGAGAGAGAGGTATTGCTGAAACCTCCAAGATGATCCCATTATTGTTATGGGTGCTACTGTGTCCAGAGACCTACCCAACCTGGACATTGAGAAAAGCATGAGAGGTGATCTCCGTGAGGTGGAACCTATAAACCATCAATCAAACCAAGACCTCCTGCATCATTATTCTCTTGTCTCTTCTCAGAGTCCAACAAAGTTACTATATAACATTATTCTGGCACACCAACTTTTGTTTTGTGTGAATGTAATAGAAAAATTACAAAATGTAACCGTCATGTTCAGAATGCTTATTTTATCCAGCTGAGATAGTTTTTACCTACTTCTGGTACAAACAGAGACTTCTATTACCTTCTGCTAGTAGGCTGACTTTCAAATATTGGTTTTACCAAGCAGATATGAGATTATGATGAAAGATTTGATGACAGTGCAGACCAGTTGACATCAGAGAGCAGCCTGCTTCTCAGGGTTCTTCCTGTGGAATCCGAGCTTTAAAAATGGTGCAGCTTTTTTACCATTTTACGAAGGAAGCTAGAACTCCTTTAATGATGTCTGTGAAATAGCTCTCCTCTGAGAGAGGAGATTTAGAAGTATTTGCTATTCATATCAGATGCTTTAACAGATGCAAAGCAAGAAAGCTTGCTAGAACAGAATTTTCATTCTCAGCTACGGGTTCTGGTTACAAAGAAAAATTAAACAGCAATTTGGCATGGGGCAAGGAACATACTAAGCATTAGTGCTGTGTTTTCATGCCATTCTCATTCACCATGCTGGAACCTGTACGCAGCTTTTATTGCTTTGCTTTAAATGCATGGGTTTGTTCCTGTTAAGAGCATCACTCAGTTGTTTGTACTGACCTCTCATGTTGTATCTGACACGCAGCAACTTCTTAATCATGTCTTTATTTTTCACAGATTCTCATCCAAAGCATGACATCCTTTTCACTAAATAAGCTGCATGTCTTATGTTTGCCATTGCTCTAAAACTAATTCTGTCTTTATTTTTCTTTTCTTCTCCCTTTTTCCCTCCCATTTTATTTTTGTCACACACTATTTGTTCTCTGTCTGGTTTTTAACATTACATAATCTTAAGGAATGCGATAAGACCACTGAAGCCACTTTTTTGGAGCAGCCTGACTTTTCACAGCAGATACATCACAGTAAAAAGCTTTTCAGTATCCCAGAAGTAGCTGAAGAGGATGGTGAATACTCTGAACTGCTGTACAAGCAGGGTTTAGGTATGCCCTATAAAAAGAACCCCACAATAGCTAGAGACTCTAGACCACCTAGGCCCTACAATCAAGACCAGCAGCACAACTTCTGGTACCCAGCCAAGCACAGAATTTCAGGCATGGAGGATTTTGCTGCAGACGACAAAGGAAGTAAATATAGCCGCTCCCTGTCGAGAAGCCCAGACAGTGGCCTAGACTGTGGAAGTGAAGAAGAGGAATCTCGGTTTAATTTCAGATATACTTGTGATCCAGTTTCTGCCAACGTTGCCTCTAGCTGTTGTGCAGAGACTGCTAACTGTTCCTGCAGGAAAAGCATGAGGCCATTGCTTGCTCGCAGGAAAACCTTAACCAGACAAAGCAGCATCGAAGAGGATTTTGGTGACCTGGGGCCTTCCTTTGTAGAGCCCAGGAGCGAACAGGTCAAGTCCAGTTACGAGAAAAAGTATGAGACTCAGAAATGTAATAGAACAGATAATTTGTCTAATGAAGATGTTCAGGGAGGCTGGAAGACCGACTTAAAAATGGCTGACTCTAGGGCAGCTGGTCTACTTGCAAAGCCATCCCACAGAGATGCAGAAGACTCTCTGGTGTGTGAAATAAATCTTCCTTCTAACATCTGCTTGCACAAATCAGTCTGTTTTCTTTCTTCTGTTCCTTTTGGGGGGTTAATTGTTTGGGGTTTTTTTGTTTGTTTTTTTTTTTTTTTTTTGAATTAATTTTTAGAGTCCATCCATTGGACCTATATGCTATTTTTCCCCCTTTTTTTTTTTCCTTCTCATTCATTTTTGTTTATTATTCCACATTTTCCTTTACAGTCCTCTTTTGTGTCATGCTGAAATCAGTTTAATTTGCTTTACAATGATTCTCCCACAGAACAAATTACAATAATGGCTGCTTTTATTAAAGGACAACTGAATCTAAATTTTAATTAAGGGTTAGCTGAACTATAATTTTACCAAAAGTTTGTTTTTCTTTATTTTGCCCATCTAAATGTTGCTTTTAAAAACTGCTGCATTTTAACTGGAAAATTTCATCAGTAATGTGTTTTGTTTTTGTTTTGTTTTGTTTTGTTTTTTATGTCAAGGAATCCATTCATCTTTTTATTCAACTCATTCCCAGAATTTTCAAGATATACTCTTTATCATGAAATATCTCCAGACAATCAAGATTATCTCCCAGTGTGACAGTGACCCAGATTTATGGAGTCACGGGTTTCATCATATTTCCATTTTCTACCTTATCTCTGCACTGTCACCACTTGCCTTCCTTTTTAGACCATCTCTTCTTGCCTTTGAAGTTGCAGACTGCATCTCTGCATGAGAATGCAGGCAAACAGCTTCTTCCAAATGGAGAGACCAGGGCCACGCCATATCTTTCCAGGATGCCTCTGCGTGATCTTCCCTATTTGCATTTCTATCCATTAATCTATGGCAGAGTCTCCACACTTTGATAGATACAAGCCTACTCCCTAAAGACCAAAGCAAGCTCTCTACACTCTCAGTCTGCAACAGTCCAGAGTGGAAACCTCAAATCTAATGTGTTTCACGTAAGAGGAGAAATCAGCTGCCTGCTCTTCTAGCCTAGCAGTTTATACTGAAATGATCCTTTAAAATTTCTCCCATTAAAATTGGTGCCCAAGCTGTGTTAATCTCAATGACTACAGGATAAACTCTGGAGAGCATTAAAATAGTACCATGTAGTTATTAAAATAGCAACATTTTCTGCAAGGGTAGTGAACAGAGAGAGACAGCTGTGATGTGAGACGAAGTGTGTCTACATTCCCTCCTACAAGTTTCAATGACCTTTAAAAGCTTTAACAACTGAAGGCCATTAGAGAAAGGCAGCGTGCTCAAAGACAGAAGGACGTACACTTGTTCCCATGCTGCACACTGGAGAAGGCTGTAGAGCTGAACAGGAAAAAGACTTGCTTTTTCAGCACAGTCCAATCTCCACAGCTCTCATGACTGGTTGCACCACTCTTCAGAAGATTCTAACATCATCTTAGCAGCAACAACAAAGGCAAAAGAATATTTCAAAAATTATTCTTTTCTATTTTTTTTGTTCTAATGTGTGACTGCTGGTTACAAAACTCTGCCATAAATCAGGGAACCATTTTTTTTCTTTTGCAGGTTTGCCAGTCAACAGTATTTACTTTTCAGCTAACCTTTCAGTTAAAAACTAAGTTTAGTTGCCTTTAGAGCTTATGCTTCCAAATGTGATTGACCTGATTAATATCCAACTTTATAACCATAATGTTACCATGCATGTAACTTACAAACCTGTTTTTTCTGTTGTTGTTTTTTAGCTTTTAGGTAATCCATCATCTGCAGGACGGCCTGAAAGGGTGGAGCATGCAGGGCGAAGGTCTTCTCATGGCAGTGCAGTGCCACAAAGGTCTCGACCAATGTTGGTCCCTTCCATTGGTTAGTTGGACAGATTGGTGCATTTCTGTTCTTTGCAGCCTCAGAGTTGAGAAGGTGGTCCTTAAAAAAGAAACAACAGATTCTTGTCTTGAACCATGGTTACTCTTAGTTAAAGTGGGATGAAATGGAACTAAATACATCTCCATCTAAATACGAGTGTACTGGGGTCTCACAGGGGGCTGAATCAGTAGTCATTGACATTACTGGAAGTCTTCTCATTGAATTTAGTGGGGTTTGGAGCTTTTTTAATCTTGGTTAAGCTTAGATATTGTTAGATCTTGCCTTACAAGAAATGTGCAGGCAGGCTACTGTAAGATCAGTAAAATAAGTGTACCCATTCAGCCATCCACTCAGCCATCCATCTTTCCATTCATCAACCATCATTTTGCATCCACTTTCCATTTTCTTGACTACTTTTTGGGATTTAGTAGGAAAAATGGAACCTGTTAAACGTAACAAGTTAGTAGAACTTGTATATATTTACTAGATTTCATGTTTCTTACAGAATCATTGCTATTTTGGGTTTTTTATGACTTGAACTATATGCTGGTATATACCAGAAAATCCAAAAAGTAGTGCAGAAAAGATAATGGAATCAAGACACTATGGGCAAATACGTATCTGCTGAAACTTGCACTCTATACTTAAAAACAAGAAACATTCACACTGAAAATCAGGAAATGCATGCAAAACAAATGCAGAAAGAGTTCTGGGAGCTAGTAGCAGAACTTTACTCCATGAAGATGTGAAGCTGATCCAATTCCTGTCCCTATCCTGGACTGTAATTTGTGAATACTTTAGGCATCATCAGGAGGAGAAAGAAGTGGTGTCAGGCAATTCTCACCTGACATACACATGAATAAGAGATGTCACAAATGGGGATTACCATAAGGAAAGAGACTGATCATTAAGGAAGGCTTTTATTTTAAAATACTCTTCCCCTTTCATAGGCTCAAACTAAAATGTCTGTACTGTAAATTAAAATTCCCCTAGTGGGCACAGTTATTTTGATATCTAGTAGATATTATCATTATTGAAAACATAGATCAGAAAACATGTGCAGCTTTAATGGGTGAAACTTCAGTGTCTTCACTAAAGCATGACTGGTCAGAGGCTGATTTTTGTCCCACATCTGAATGTAAACCAGGATAATCTTCACAGATATCAGTGGAGTTACACTGATTTGAAAACGATATGGGGGAGAATCAGATCCAGAAAGTCTCTTGTGATTCTGTTGATAGGTTATTGTTAGCTGAACCAGATAGTTTTCAGATGATGGTGTGAAGACTGTTAGATTTTCATGAACTTTTTCTTTTTCTCTGAAATCAGTCTTTTTTTTTCTGAGGAATAAAGATTTATGCTTTATTTTTTGGATTACTTAAAGCAAGTTTTGTATCTAAGTTCTTTTTTTTACATTATCTGCTAAGACATTTCGTCATGAATAGTGAGAGAATAGACAGGTTTGTTTGAATTAATCCTTTTGTTTTCATTTTAATTTAAAAATAATTGAAGCCATTAAATTTATCAAAGCTCAATTTCTGTCAAAAAAGTTAGGAGATTGAAACTGCTAGTAATGACCTTCCTGTTTAGTAGTTCAATAGCAACATCTTAGGAATTGGATAGAATAATTTCTGATAGTCAGTCTGTGCTCAGATAATTTAAAAAAAAAAAAATCTCAGATTTTATTTCTTTCAGTGTGACATAAAGAATGAGTTAAGGTGTTTTGTATTACGTACAGTCCACAAATGCTCTTTGGGGAGGTTCCATTAGGAATAAATTAAAATATTGTTTAATTCTGGTAACAAGCAAGCTACTAAACATTAACTACAGTATCTAACAAAAAGAAATAATTTGCTGTGAAGCTGTTGAAATTCCTTATGTGGTTTAGAGTTCAGGACTGACTTTTCTGTCTAAAAGACTATTGATTAAAATTACTGAAAGATGTACGCAGTTTTTTCTCACTTTCAGCATCATACTGTACTAAGTCACTGAGGGTAAGTGAATTATATATAACCCATTGATAAATCTGCACAAAAGTTGCTTCCTGTAAACCTGCTGGAAAAAAATCTAGGAGGTATGAAATGTTTCAAGAGTTCAGATAAATAAAGTGTGGCAAGAGTAGGAAATCTGAATGCGTATAATAGAGGATTGTGTAAACTTGACCCCACTGTTCAGAACTCTCACTGACAGAGGAAGCTTCCCATGGATCAGGGCTACAAGTCAGGGTTCTGAAGAAGGAAGTTACTAGAGCTGGCTCATTAGAATATGTCGTTCCATAAAGTGAAAAGCACAGTAGATTGAAAGGAAAGAAGAAAATAAATATGACTGAGCCAAAGTTTAAACTGCTTAAATGCATAAAACTGTTGTTGGCCCCAGCACATAGCTCAAAAATGTGGATTCCAAATTTTTTGGCAGCAGCTTCTCCCTTAACACGTGTGCCTAGTGTTTTTACTGAGTTACTCATCTGAAGGGTCACTTTAGTGATGGAAAGTTCTTAAGGCAGCTCTGTGGGGTTAAACTAGTGGGTAAGACCTTCAAAACTGTAACGTTCTTAGGATTCCAGTGATAAAAACTTTCTCCAAAATGTTCCAGAGTTTAAATTCTTTGAGAGATTGTCTCCATTAAGCTATAAATACTTTAGATTAGTATCTTCTTACAGGTAGGATTTAAGTAAATTAATTGATTTTTGTTTTTAGGTTGATACTTTAGAAGGTGAAACACAGTTTACAGTGCTCTTGACCTTGCAGATCTGGCAGGTAGGATTGTTTAAACCTCATAATAAAAGATGATTCCTATCCAAAGACAAACATACAATATTTACACTGTATGAATTTTAAAAAGCACAAAATTCAGACGCTGTAAAAAAGGAGATACACATTTCTGTGGTTCCCCTGCTGAAGAAGGATTTCTAGAGGCTGAGACATCTGGCAAAGCTTATGCAGTGTTTAGCCTTCCTGCTGTATGCAAGTCAGAGGAGAAGGTAGGCATCCGCAGGAGCCTCCGCGAAGGCAACCATACCCTATGTTTTAATAGATCATTCCCTTTTTCTCCATAGAAATTACAATGGACAGTAACAGTGAAGGCGGTCGGTCTCGGTCAGGTAGTGAGGGAAATATTTCACCTGTAAAAGAAGAAGCTTATTATCCCAGCATTGGTGGACAGAGGAAATGGCCTCAGCAGCGTACCTTGGCCTCTGACTCTAGATACGGTATGCCGAACGTTGTTCCTCCTTTGTGACAGACACGGGTAGAGCTGCGTGTCGGGTGCGGTTTCTGTGTGGCAACGTTGCATGCAATGCAGAATGCCAGGGGAACTAGCCCTTAAGTCCTGTCTGCTCCCAGGTAAGTTCCTCCAGCTCAGCTGTAAGGGACACACGGCCCTTAGTCCTCTGTCCTGAGACTGCTGCGCAGCCGCCTTGCCCTACTCCACTGAGTCCAAGCACACTGCATTGCATGACCCTCTGTGAAGCTATGCTGCTCCTAATGCCAGTCAGTAGTTACTGTACACACCCCAACAGCCATTCGTCAAAGCGACCCCATTTCCACTTGATTCATACAGACTGGGCAGGGACAAACAGTAGCTGGGGTATCACAACCCAACGTCCTAGGAGAGGGAGCAGTTACCAAAGATTATTCTGATTTACGGCTTGGGCTAAACGAAGATTCGGGTTCTTTTCAATGACAACCCAGGACTTTGGCTGTGTCACTTAGTGAAGACAAAAATTACTCTTATTTTTAGGAATAATTACATCATAAGAAAAAATCTGTATTACGTGAGTAGGGCAGTTATACCCACTACTGATAGTATTTGTTGCTTCATCAACATAGAAGTCATTACATGATCCACAACTCAGTTCCATAGTTCATAACAGAGTAACTTGAAGTGTCTAATAACCCTTAGAAGCAGCCCAGGACATATGTAGCACTAAGAAACACAGGAGGGTTTTGTTGCTATCTGAAATGAAACAAAAGGAGCCTTGAAAGTTTAGGTAAATCATAATTTAACGCTAAGCTTCAATGCAAAGATAGCTGACTGACAACCAGATCTTCAGCTTGTGTGGATTGGTGTATGTCTTGTGGGTTCAACGCAACTGTGGTTGCAACTAAGCATCAGTTGGGAATCTGGCTGGCTGCATCCAAAGACTGAGATTTTACAGACACAGTTGTAGGGGTGTGTATATGTACGATATACGTATATACTCCTGAAAGAATAAACTAAGTGGCTAATGAGCTAATTGAGATTATTCACGTGCTGGTTCACTGAACCAAACATGACTATTCTGAGTCAGATTGTTACAGCCCAGTGCTATTATCAGAAATACACTTGACTAAAACTCATGTTTGCACCTAACCCCCATTGACTGCAGTTGGAGCTGGATACAAAAATTGATATATTTTTATTATTATTTAAAAAAAATAAACACCCCTTAACCCACCTGTTCTACATTGCCTGGTGGGCCTGAGTGTGAACCACAGAATGACTGCAACCTGACTGTGGGAGGAGAACAGAACAGAAAAGAATCCCATCCTTTGTGTCCCATTGCTTTCTGTCCCACATGTGCCCTTCTCCCACACTTCCTTTCTGTGCTGTGTGCCTGCCTAAAGCTTCTTGGCTGGAATTTTTCCCTGCCCTTTTGCTGTTATGCATTTTTTTCCCTATTCACTTCCTTTCTTGTGCTCTGAACCCAAGAGTTAGTAGCTGTTCCCTTAAAGCTGTGACCCTCTGAAGTTTTGTTCTGGTAGTTTAAAAATATCAAATGTTGAATAAAGTGCATCTGATGTAGAGGTAAACAGAGGAATTTTATCTAAGATGTTCTATATTGAATGTGCAAACATTTACCAAAAATTTGGAGTCTTTCATTTGTAAGAAGTGATTACAGTAAAAATTGTATTAATATGAAAACTGGAAAAATTTTGATCTAGTTGAACTACATTTTCATCATAATTCATAACATCTTTTTCTCAGTTTATTCATTGTGAAGGATTGTGTAAACTGGATGATAAGTGTGGACTCAGCAAAGAACAGAATACGGGATTCCCGTTGACGTTAGCAGGACTCCCACAATTAGCCAAGTTTTTCCAAAGTGGCTTGTGATTTTGAGGGCTTTATTTTTTGGGACTTCAGCTTCATATATCTTGAAAGAGCCTATTTTTTGGGAAAGCACTGCCATATGCTCTTTCAAAACAAAATTAAAAGCCTTTGAAACCCATCAATCAAAACACTCGTTAGCAATTTTGGCTTAATTTTCTAACTCGGTTTTACCAAAGTCCATCTTTAAGTCCGTCAGTGCAGTGTCAAGTGTTGTGTTACTCGTGGATGATCTTCCCTAACAAGCTTATGATTAAATGCAATCATAGCTAACCATTTTGCCTGGTTTTTAACACATCTGGTTAGTGTTTGGGTTGATGTGGGGCACTGCTGACTATAGGAACTATTGACTGTGTTTAAACAACATCATAAGCAGTGAAGTTCCAAGCCTGGCATAACTAACACTTGGAAAGTATTTCTTGCCTGTCTGGAGAGAAGAGGTTATAACCATGTTTTAAACCTGGTACCTAAAACATGGCATGTCAGCACAGCTGGGATGTGCTTTCTTGTGTCCATGAAGAGCAGAAGCAGCTGTGCTGGAAAACAGGTGGATCCAAAGCATGGTTATTTCTGCAGTCATCATTATGTCACTCTTAACATGCTTCAGTAATTATGGCAAACTCTAGTACACCTAACAAAAATTGCTTTCTTACCTTAGCTGTATTCACATGTGTAAGTGCCACTGTGGTGCAGATCAACACCACAGTCAGTGCATAGTGTATGGTTAAAAAAAAAAAAAAAAAAAACAACTTGCTAATTAAAAACAACAACAACAACAACAAAAACTCAAATCACAAGTGTAACAGTTATTAATGCATTAAGTTATTGGTTTTTTTTTTTTCACTGAAATATCAAACGTTTCTCAGATATTAACAAGAATAGTTGAAACTGGAGGCCAACTTGTATTACTGAATTGTTCTTTTCTGAATTTACTTTCATAGATGGCTATGGTGGTCATGACCGTCTTTCTCCAGATATTTATGAAGAATCAGAAACAGATCCTGGCACAGAAGATATTTCTACTCGAATATTTGTTGCACTCTTTGACTACGATCCACTGACAATGTCCCCAAATCCTGATGCTGCAGAAGAGGAGCTGCCATTTAAAGAAGGACAGATCATTAAGGTGGGATCTATTAACAAAGGAAATTAAGGACTCAGTTTTACAAATAAGGTCTCCTTTGTTCCCTGTGGAGCAAGTAACTTGTGTTAACTGGCATCTGAGGGTTTTTCCCCTCCAGAGGTTCAGGCTGTAAGTCTCACTGGATCTGGAATCTATTATCTAGTGCTAACGGCTTAAAAATAATTAGGTAATGGGCAAACAAATCTCAGAGCTGTTATAGATAGGGCCAGACTCAATTAGAGATTCAGGTGCTAAGACCACAGTTATGACTCCGAAGCCTCCTACATCCCTTGCCACAAACCCTGCAGGAAACACTGCTTCAGAGAGGTTGTCTTTCCTGCAAAGGTGCCACAAACGTGCTTAGAGGTGTGCCTCCACACATGGCAGAGCTGCTGTGCTTTGTTAAACGCTGAGCAGTCCTAGCTAGTGCACACTTCAGTTTAACTGAAATCCAGAAGTTAGGTATTTGTCTTCTAGTCACCCTTTTGTGAAACTGGGGAAACCCTTTTCTGACCCTTTGGTGTAAAGCACACAAGCTGCCTTTGTACAGGGTGCAGAAGACAAGTCAGCCCAGTTTCAGGTGACTGGGACAGTGCTGGGCTCTGTCAATGTTTCTGCCAGCCCTCTGTGCCAACTTGCCTCATCTTATGACTATGCAGCTGCAAGGCAAATTTGTTCAATTTGCTGATCTGATTTTGAAAAGCTAGCAGAGCTTTCTGTTGAATCAGCAAATGTGAGCATCTCCTCCTGCAGCTTTGTACCTAATCAACCTGGTGCAAAATGGGGAGAAATGAGACAGCCAGCAAAACCAGCTGCTGGTAGTCCAAGGGTAATTGAGATCTAAGTGTGATCTGAAACAGAACCTGAAAATATAGACTCGTTTGTTACACTCCTCATTTCAAAGACAGAATTGTAACTTAAGTTATTAAAAGACTGCTGCCTTCCACTGTGTTGGGCTGGACCCTAATACAAAAGTCCATACCCTAAATCACAAACTTGTGAGGTTAAATACTTTGCTAGATACTTTGCTTACCTCCTTACATCATAGAAGATTTATGCCAACAATATAGAACTTGTTTAAGAGCTGCTTTTTCCTCACAAGAATGTGCATTTTGCTCAGATATTTTAATTGTTGCTTCACAAATATGTATGTGTTTGGCACTGAAAAGTCCAGAGAGAGCCCACAATTGCCACAAAGTTGAGGCAATTCAACCGTCATTTTTAATGAACTCAGATTTGAAGTGAAGGGATTGGTTTGAGGCTTATTGTTTGTCTTCTGAGGAAAGAAAGAAAATGATTGAGCCTACACAAGGAACAATGTAAACTCAGTCATCAGTTTGGCCTTAAGAATATCATTTCTGTTTAGTACAGTCATTGATCTAGGCCTTTGTATCACTCATAGCCTTTATGAATGGACAGCCTTTTTAGAACTTAAAAGAAATTTTGGATTTACCTGTTCTCATTGATGAAAATTCATGCTATTTTTATTCATGTTTTCTGGAAAGTCAATAACAGAGCTTAAGTAAGTACAGATATCAAGTATATTAAAAAATAGGCATTTTTGATCATATCCAGGTTGTTCTGTGCAAAATGACAGCGCTTTGGCACAGTTTTGCAAATGCTTCATTATGAATATAGTTCACATGGCACCAAAAATGGTCAGAGTAGTCAAAACCTACTATAATTTCCCACCCAATCTGTAGTCATCTGTCTATTGTAATAATTTAGCCTGCATTAAAATTTGTAAATGCTAAAACCTTTATTGACCAACATTGCCACTCTGAATAACAGGTTTATGGAGACAAAGATGCTGATGGATTCTATCGTGGAGAAACCTGCACAAGAATTGGCCTTATCCCATGTAATATGGTCTCTGAGATCCAAGCAGACGATGAAGAGATGATGGATCAGCTGCTAAAACAAGGGTTTCTTATAATTTCCTACCCAATCTGTAGTCATCTGTCTATGCTTTTGTAATAATTTATCCTGCATTAAAATTTGTAAATGCTAAAACCTTTATTGACCAACATTGCCACTCTGAATAACAGGTTTATGGAGACAAAGATGCTGATGGATTCTATCGTGGAGAAACCTGCACAAGAATTGGCCTTATCCCATGTAATATGGTCTCTGAGATCCAAGCAGACGATGAAGAGATGATGGATCAGCTGCTAAAACAAGGCTTTCTTCCTTTGAACACACCAGTTGAGAAAATTGGTAAGGGAAAAAACATACACCTCACTTCTCCTAACATTTGGGTGCTATTAACTTGGCTGGACCTGCTTTGCCTTTCGTTTTTACTACATGCAGATGCATCTGAATCTTACAGCAATTTACTACACCATGGGATACATTCTGTGTCAGTATCTGGATGACTTTATTCAACTAATATTTAATCTTGGTCACATCTTTTGCTGCAAATGAGGACTTGTATCTTCACCACTCCACTTGTTACATTCTTATTTTTTAAAAATTGGGGTTGGTCACCTGAAAGATTTCTAGACACAGAACATGATCCCTGTGCTTTGGAGTGTGCTGTGCTGAGGTGCTTCGTGATACGCTCACTGCTGCAAAGCATAAAAAGAATCACTTATTTGTTGCTATCTTTACTCTTCTACATTTTCCTACTTTACCAATAATTTAAAGGGATGGTGGCAAAGGGTTACGTGAATACCATTTGGGATAGCACGACATGAGATTTTTATGGATATTGAAGTAATAAGCCCTTTAAAAAGCAGTGTTTGGCCAAACCCATCTGTGTTCTGAACCAGTTATGTTACCTCATTGGTTCAATGCTGCACACAGATACATAATGCAAGTGTCCTAACTTAGATTTCAGTCTAAAAATAAAATTCATACTACTATTCCAATATATTTTAAATTTTGCAGTGTGATTCAGAGTATAAAGGGCTGTATTGGTTCGGTCCTGTTTAAACGTGAACTGTAAAAGTGGTTGCTAAAAAAAACAAAAACAAAACAACAAACCAAAGAAATGTTCCTCAGTTGTTTTCTTAGATTCAATAAAACTTTACCATTTCCAAAATCATATTAGTAAATGTGAGACATCATTTTCTTTTTTTTTTTTTTTAAGGATCCTGAGATATTTTTTAATTCTTCATTATCCGTGAAAGAGAAGGATGATTTCAGTTGGTAAATGCTTCATTGAGTTCTTAATGCAAATGTGCACATTTATTTCCTTATGCCACATAAATACAACAGAACCTCCCACTCAGATGCACTTGTAAATCCCAAGTAAAACTCATAAAACCTGGAGCCCATCTGCTCCTCTAGCTATAGCACACACACCCACAGGCACATTTACAGGACAAAAACTTGAGGTAGGCAGAGGGTGGGACCTGCAGCTGGGCCTGACCAGGTGAGCTACCTACAGCAGCTGTTCCAGCATGGGCCTGCATCATTTGGAGTCTGCTAGAATGAGATACCCAACCTGCTTTAGGGACAGCTGTAAGCACAACTGGGGGCTTGCTGGGGTTAAGAAATGTCTGAATGTGTTTCTGCTTCTAGAAATGAGGTCACGTGTGGCTACAGAAAACATCTTCCTGAACAGCTACAGTTGAATCTTTCCTGCTTTAGGTCCTGCTCAGTGCTCTCAGTTCTTAGCAAAGTCAGCAAGCTCTTGATACAGAACACTTGTGAAAATGAAACCACTAATTTACAAAGCTCCCCTGAATTTGAATATTTTGGCTGTCTAACAGTCATATTTAGTGAATTTAATTGGATATTTTTTTTTGTTCTGCTCAACTGGCTGTGTCTCCTGAAATAGCTGAGAAATCAGGAAGTCTTTATCTTGGAGAGAGGGAGAGGCAGTTTGTGACAGAAGTGCTGCCCTGCCTTACATGTTTCAGCAATTCTTTTTATTCTGTGATGTTTCTGAGCAAGCTGTTAGCAACCTACCCCCAGCAGTTCACCTTTAAATACTTTAGCACTTTAAAAGCATCATGTATTTTCACTTCAATGTGGGTTTAAATTGTTAGCCATTTAAAAAAAAAAACAAAAAACACACACAAAACCCCAACAATCACTCTTACTACTGGATTTGGAAAGAATTGTTAGTTTGACTCCATTTTAAACTAAATGAAAATTCTGAATAGCAGAGAGATCCACGTGCTCAGACCTTGACTGCCACAGAGGCTGCCCACGTGGATGTGGAGCAGAAGCAGCTCTAACTGCCAGACTGTCTCCTACTGTTACTCGTATTTTTAATGTCATACCAGACACTTCACATGCTGTGTGCATATGACTATATTTTTCTTAATCCTTTGCCCACATTAAATCCTTAAAAAGAGAACGTTGAACAGCTTCATATCTTCTCTTCTTTTATTTGTATGCATTCCCTTCCTGAAGTCAACTGTGACCGTTTCAAAGAGAGCACACGCTCTGTACACCGCAGATCCAGAAAGTCTAAAAGAGGTCTGTGCTAAGAACCAATAATTTGATTCAAGCTGTAAATTAGCTGAAATTATTTGAGCTGTCTAGATTTACTTTTTTTTTAATGCTTTTGAACTTTTGGAAACCAGAAGTTGGAAATTATTGTCACATAGCAGTTAACATGTAGAGTCCTTGCTGGTTTCTTTTCCTTGACCCTGAACACTGGGCGATGCCTTGCCCCAGAGAAGTACTTCAAAGTGGAAAGTGCAACTCAGAGATAAGCATTTAGGTATCAGTTGATCCAGGCTTTGGGGAGTCAGGGGGACTGGGGCCTGCGTCTGCTACAGTCCGTGCCTTCCTTCTGGACCTCTCTGTGTCCTGTGTAAGCCCCTTGCACGGGTAGCTGGGAAATAAGACCAACCCACTGCTGAAGGGAGTGACCTGACAGCGCTGCAGGGGCGGCTGGCGGGCGAGGTGACAGCTGAGTGATGTGACACTCAGGAGCTGCTCCGAGGCCGCGGAACCTGTGACGGGCCCCTGCTGCCGAGGCAGCCACAGGGGTCTCTGTAGAGCAGGGTCCCTTTGTCCCCACACGGTGCTCAGACCTGCCCTCAATGCCTGTCTGTACGTAGCACTAACAAGCATGTTTCTCTTGCTGCAGCAACCATCCGCAAGAACCATGCTAATAGCATCCCAATTTCAAACGGAGCCTGTTTTGGACTTCTCTGTACATGTTTAATACCAACCAATAAACATTTCATGTGGTTGCTGGAAACTACAATTTTACTCTTTTCCTTCTGTTCCCCACAAAGGAAACTTGTAAAATGAAGCAGTACTTGAGAATGTGTTTTTGTAGTCAGAGTTTTGAAAATACTGCAAACTACTTGCATAATGGGGAGCTTCTTTTGTCTCGGGACAGCTGAGAGGTGTGTTTCTCCTTCCAGTCCCCCAGCAGAAAGTGGAAGAATAATCCCAGACACAAAATTCCTGTGGATTAGGAGGGGGAAAGGGAACAGACAGTAAATGTGGAAGTTTGAATAAAATGAAACAAACAGGAATTTTGACTGGCTTTGTAACATCCCAGTAACCTCTGATTGTTAGAACCAGGAATGGCTGAAATTTCACATTAGTTTTGCAGTTAAATACTGTTCAGAGGATTCAGTGGCCTAGAATAAAGAGAGCAAGTCAACTGTTAAAACAACTATTAGTGAAACATTAAGTGTGGTGTTGAAGCCTTTACCTGTGTTATAGGCTTGCTAATCGGTGACCTTTGATCGCTTAGAGAAATACCAACATTGTTACTGCACTGTTGTGAAAATGAGGTGGAGAAAAGTTGCACCTTGTTTTTCTTTTCAAAATAACTTTGATAGCTTTCCTTCCCTTCCTCTCCTTGTGGCTGGAACAGAAAGGAACAGGCGGAGCGGCAGACAACAGCCCGTGTCTACGAGGAGGATGGTGGCACTGTACGATTATGATCCCAGAGAGAGCTCTCCTAACGTGGACGTGGAGGTACTGAGATGACTGTGCCTGCCGTGCCCCGAGCCATGGCCCAGCTGCTGTTGATAAGCACTGTTACACATCTGCGGGGGGGGGAAAAATGTGGTTCAGAATTACAAACACTGGTCAAATGGTTTCAGGCAGATGTACCCACAAGCTTATGACTACTATACCAGTAAATTGATGGTTCTTGTTCAAACAAATCCTTTGTAGCATTTATTTGATATGGCTCAATACATTAAATACTCAGCTATGGACATATGTTGTGCAAGATATGTGTATACGTATGTATATAACAAAAGGCTATATGGAACAAAGCATGGAGTTATAGATAGCAGGGAATAATTATTTTCCAATTATTGTTTTCAAGTTTTCATTGTATATTTCCACACAAGAACATGATTATTTTTGCAAAACATCCCAGCTGTGAGCTGATACAAGCTGATAGTGATGCACGCTTTCAAATTTCTGTAACCTACAGTTCCTCCAAAAATCACCCTTCCTTCGCCACCCAAACCAGAACAACATAGCACAGCAGAACAGCACTCATAATATATTCTGTTTTGCTCTTAATTAATGAATCTGAGTGTCTTCTCTGTAATTTTTTTATTTTAATAATAGTGTAAAACATCTTAAACAACTGAACATTAGCTAGATCTTCATTATAGGTTTATCTTCCCTTTGCCTACATGCAGCTTCCCATCTCTCCATATTTAGCAGCAATAATAGAACCACTTTTTATGTTCTTTGATGTTACATTGGCAAGTCTCTCAATCAAGATTTGATGCAGTTTTCAGTTATACATGCATTGTGGTAAGAAAGTCAAGATGCACAGAAAGTTCAAAAAAAATACTGCATACCTTGGAGCTTCCTCAGTCCTCCTTTAAAATGTTTTAACTGAGGAATTGTAGAACGATCAGGAATTTTTTAAAGAAGAAAGTGAATTTTGAAATGTGGGACTTGATTTAAAAGTCAGCCAGAGCTCATATGTATTTCACACTGAATCAAATCCATTTTTAAATTACAGTGTTTTGAAGTAGTTTGGGCAACAAATCAAGTAAATTGCACCACTATGTTACAAACATTTTATTTATTCTCTAGCCACAGCCATAGGAAATTAAGAATAAGTTAAAACCCCCTCTGATTTAATTGCATTTAAACCACAAAGGATTAAAAATATTCATGCATTTATTATTACTAAAGGGACTGTTAACCTTTGCCTAACGTGTTCCTGTTCCTGCAGGCTGAGCTGACATTCTGCACTGGGGACATTATTACCGTCTTTGGTGAAATCGATGAAGATGGATTTTACTACGTGAGTTGGCTTCTCTTGGTCACTTCCAGCTCCCACAGACTCTTCGAGCAGCCTTCACCAGCACGAGTGGTGAAACGACAGCCTGGGTGGGGGGATTTCAGGCCACAACTCCAGCTCGCTGTGTTGTGGGAATAGCTGTGATCCTAAGTAGACAAAAAATATCAACCTATGCAGCATGGCTGGAAGTTCTCAAAATGGGGTTAGTGTCACCGCTCCCAGGTTGTACCCAGGAGACTGAGGTCACCACCAGCTCCACCAGAGAGCCTGGGTGTGAGCCCAGCTCACAGCTCCCACTGCTGCGTGGGCTGCAGCAGGAGCCAGGAAGCTCCCGCAGCTGGAGGAGCTCATACAGCAGTGAAGAAGGGTCACCTTTCCCACTTTTTGTCTTTAGAGACTGCTGTTCATGCAGCTCAGAGCTGCCTCTGGCATTTTGTCAGCAATATTCGCTTCATTTAGTTTGCTGGAAAATGTGTATTTTGACCACACGTGAAGATGTGAATGATGTCTAGTGGGTAAGACATTTCACGTGGGTGAAAAGCCAGACAGCCTGTCCCGACAATAAAGGGTTATTTGGTTAAATTAATCAATAACATAGTTCAGTAGTCTTTAAGCACTAGTTAACTGCTGACACTAGTTTGTCATCCCTTTAAGGATTCAGCATTTCTTGCCCAGCTGGACTGGCTTCAAGTTGACAGTATCTGGGAACCTGCATCTTGAACTTGTGTTCTCCATTGCCAGGGTGCAGTGGCCACAGGAAGGAGGCCCAGCTCTCTCTTCCAGATAGATTTTAGAAGCTGAGACCTGAAGGAACGATTGGATCGCTTCAGCAGTGCCCTCAGGGTGTGTGGCTGAGAACCACACAGGTCTATAGCACTGCAGTCCCAGGACCCGAGTCTAGAGGCCGTGTGGGAGCTCAGTGCCCCCCTTACTCCATTGCATGTAGATAAGAACACAGAGGTTCACCTGTTCTTCATCACACACACGAGCTCTTGTGAGCTCCAGAAGTGCACAAGCTCTTCCAGGCCCAAGTGACCACAGATAGTTATCTCCGCTTCATCACTTCCTACCCTCTTGGGAACCTACATCTGCTTGAGTTAAAACATTCCCTAATTTTTCATCACGTTGCAGGGTGAACTTAATGGGCAAAAGGGGCTGGTTCCTTCCAACTTCCTTGAAGAAGTGCCTGACGATGTTGAAGTCTATCTATCTGACGCACCCTCACGCTACGTCCAGGACACACCGATCCGTACAAAAGCAAAAAGGGTAAGCAACCCACTCAGAAAAACTTAAGTTTTTCTTTTCCATTCCATTCTGTCTCATATATAATTTAGACATTACTTTTAACATTTTTAATCCATTTGCCCATTAAAATTAACTTTCAAATATATAAATTCAAACAAAGTGACGTGGCCGAGCCTTCTGCTCGCTTGTTACAGCTGTAAATGAAGAAACTAAATTTACCATTTGATTGCAGTCGTTACAGTACCTTCAATTCTAATTTGAGTTTAAGCAGCTTTTCCCTGGTGGAAGTAGTTACTTCCCAGTGCTTCTAAACGACTCTTAGTACGTGCACTATCTTGATGAAAGCAAAAGTTCTTGTGGACGAAAGCCTAGTACAAACATTCCTTTAAATACAAGTTGTAAATGCAGCTGATTGACAGCGGTCATCTTCTGATCCTTCTGGCTCCCTCTTCCGACTGGCATTACTTAATTGCCCAGAGACTTCTCTCTTATGAAAGACTAATCATGTTTAGAGTATCTCATTTTTTGTTTTGTTTCATCACTGCAATACTTTTCTATATTATATATTTTATATATATTTTTATTTCTTTGCTCATCTGCTTGGAAACAGAAGAAGAGTGTTCATTTCACACCTTAATAAGGCAATGTAGCCTTCACGTAAGTGAGCAACTGAAGATACCAATAGAGATTTCAATTAAAGCTACCTGGCTATCTAATGCAAGTCTTGAAACTTAACTGTGGGGAAATAAACCCAGAAAGAAATATGTCTCCAAAATCCTTGGCCACAGAACAGGATCTATGCTTTTACTGAATCTAGTCAAGTCAATTTTTTAGGAGACGAATCCTTTAAAAAGGAATCCTTAGAAAAAAGTCAATTAGACTTCACTTTATGAAGGTCAAAGTTTGGAACATATTTCTTCACGAGCTAAATGTTTATGTTTACATAGAAAGGAGAGTTTGATGTCTAACTACCCTACAAACAAAAGCTGCATATTGCATTGTTAGCCAACCTGGGACGTAAAAATTCCAAGCTCTGCTCCCAAGAGACAAGCACAAACCCCAACCCGCAAGCACAGACAGACGGGACGGCAGCCGATACCCGCGGTAGTTTACAGGGTACAGCTGGGTTGGAAACTCACTACACTCAAATACAGCTACAAATTGTCTGCCTTAAAATGCATTTTCCATAATCAATGATACTCCAGTTTGCCTAAAATCAGCTATTCAATTCTGAAGAAAATCCCTCCATGCGGTCCAATTGACTGGATTTTCCTAGAACGAGCACATTTGAAACGTTAGCGACTGTTTGGTTTACCAATGCAATACACCTCTGGATGTGAAACATGCAGCTCGCTGGATGGATGCATTAGACTAAACACATGGTATCTTCAGGTGTACGTTGGGGTGCTTTACCAACTTGTTTTTGGTTTGTTTTGTTTTTTTCATTAGAATTAGACCTTGATTTAAAATCAAAGTAGGCTTGAAGCCCCTTTGCTTAACTCACTGTTGCACAATGAGCCAGTAAATTGCTAATGCTTTGACTTGCCCTACAAGCCATCAGGGGTCCCTAAGGCATGAATCCTTCTAGGAAAATATCATCTTAATTGCTCGTACCACATTTTGTCAGCCAGACACTGTAGTTAGGGTAGGCGGAGTATAAGTAGTTTCAGCATTTTCATTCAAGTGCTTCTGATGATTGAAAAAAAAAATTAGCTGTTTAAAATATTTAGGAATGCTGTCATCTATCGTACAAGTATCCACCATCATCCAGCAACCCCACAGCTGCAGCATACACATCAAGCAGCCAGGGTCTTTAAGCTTTCTTTGATTGTGATTAAGGTTCATTTTATCCTTTTCTTTTTCCTTTTCTTTTTCCTTTTCTTTCTTTTTTGTTTTAAGCCAGTGTGCCATCCTCTCAAATATGTACATAAAGTCTGCTAGCCAATTTTTTTACAAAAAAGCATTTAAAGGACATTTAAAATTATGTGATCAAGTAGCATTTTAAGTGAAATTTGTTTTTCTGAAAACAGTTGGCTTCTCTAGATTACTAATCTGTAGTAATTAACACATTTATTTTTATTAATTCTATATCTTAAAGTATCCCTCTTAATTTTTGTACTATCAGAGTACTGAAATGCAAAACCAAAACCAGTTTTGTGGCTTTTTGGCCCCAACTATGGTAAAATGAGTGCATCCAATGTTTTCTTTAAAAAAGCATAACCAAAACAGGGCTCTATTGGAGCGTTTTCTGTTCTCTGTAATTTTTCCTCAAAATATATGTCTTTTTCCATAAGCCCTTATGGTATTTTAAGCCACAAAGAAAGGAACCAGCCCTTTCGTTTAAGTGGGTAATGGGACATGTGATGTTACCAACTTTCTTGATGATAATAGCTTTGAAGCTTTCAAACATTCAATAAATTATAACAATGTACCTAATAGGTTCCTCCTGAGAATACAGGTACCTCCCGGAGAGCACCATCCCCCACAGTTCATCTCCATTCTGGGTCACCTACGTCACCTATGGGTTCTGGTAGCCCCGGGAGAGGCAGGGATATGTCCTCGAAAAAGAAAAAGGGGCTGCTTTCCAAAGGCAAGAAACTGCTGAAAAAGCTTGGTGCAGTGAAATGATTCATGTACTCCTGGACAACTTGTAAAGCTTCCAGTCTGTGTATTTTTTTTTTTTTAATTTTCTTTTTTTTTAAAGTCAAAACTAGGGCTATCATGACTATGCAGTACGACTTTACCAAAACTTTGCATTTCTGACATCAGTAGAATCATGTGAATTGCTTAATCAGAACCGCAAGAAAAAAAGAAGTGGATGTGTTGTTGCACATATTCTTTTCTTTAAAAAAAAAAAAGTTTTTGTGGGATTGAGGCCAGAAGAACATGGTTTTATTTGAAGTCAGCTCAACACCCGCAACTCCATTGGATAAATCTCAGCCTTTAGTCTCCTTTAGCTGTGAGTGGGGGGAAGAAAACGCTGTTCACTGATTCCTGGCTCAGAGAGAGCACCCCACTGTAGCTGACCTTTATCATACACAAAAATGGTCTTGAAACTCCTAGTTTAATCAGCCTTGATGTTTTGCCTTATTAATGCACAATGATTTGTACTGTCTATTAAATATACAGCGTATACTTTGTATGTACTGTGTATTCAACTGTCTTCATCTTCCCTAAAACATGGTAATTTAAGATCCAGTTCTATGTTACTGACTCCATTCACTGTCTGACGTAACTCCTGGGAGTTTGAAAGTGCTGTGCAAAACGCTTTCTTTTTGGTTTTTGCCTTTCCTCCCCCCCCACCCAAAACCCTTGTATTGATTTCTTTTGTCAACATTTTAAGTATCAAGTCTGTTAAGTTTAAGTTATTCAGAGACTCACTCAGTTCCAACCACATAACTTCCAGTTTTGGAGTTCCTGGTTCACTGTTGTAAATTACCAGGGAAAAACAAAACCAAACCAAACTCTCCACAACAAAGAAACCTTTTACCCCCAACTTTTTTTTCCCTGTGGAGGTTACACTCCTAAGTTAACCAACATTTTCATATTGCTGATGTCAGATTCAAGATAAAGCGCATGTCTAAAGTAAAAAGTGAAAAACTGTGTTACAGACACAAGCTGCAGCCAGTAAAAGGGCTGCAAGGGGTGATATCAGTCAGCAACTGCAACATTGGCAACTCCAGAAAAACGATCTTACATCGATGGCAGTCATTGGCTGTTACTATTTTGTAATTCTTGTCCATTTGTAAATTGTTTTTACTGTTTATACATACTTTTCAGACTGCCTTTCTTTTTGTAATTTATGGAAGGTTTATAAATGAATGCTCGAAGCTTCCCCATTGTGTCTTCAGATAATAATGTAAATTACTGTAAGATACCGTGTGCTAGATGACAACATTTAATTAAAGGAAATAACTGGCCTAAATTTGTGGTAAAGTACTGTGTGGGTGTGTGCATGTGTACAACTGTTGTGTATTATATTTTCTATCAATAAATCATTTGATATTTTGTAGAGTGCAGTACGTTTCATGAATCCCGTCTCGGCCGGTGTTCCGGCAGCAGCGTCCCCTGCCCCCCGCAGGATTAGAGGGCTCCCCTGGTTTTCAGAACTGTCGGTGGCTGCTGCATTTTACTGCTTCTACTGGTTTGGGGGGGGGGATTGTCAAAGGGGGT